ACTCACCGCGCGAGACGCGTGGCGTGCCACAAACCAGTAAACAGCAGCCTTCGCTGCTGCGACTCGAATGCTTCAAACGCGCACCTGTGCTTGCGCACGGCGTGCTTTACACGAGCCTCCCTACCGCACGAGCGTGCGGGCGGCTCGAATCCACCCTTCCCCCGCCCTAGCCACTGTTGGCTGGGCGGCGGGCGCCGTCCGCCTTGCGGCGGCGGCGACACTTGAAGCGGTCGCGGCGCGTATGCGTCGTACTGTTAGGGCGGCCGGGCCCGAAGACGGCCCGGCCAGGCTCTGCATAAGGCCATCTTCGCCACAACGCGTGGCATTGGTCCAACTACGGCAACCCACAGCGAGGGGGGCCGCTTAGGCGACCTTGCTCACATCAGCTGCATATGCTTCAGTGGTGCAAGGAGGAGTGGAGAGGGACCTTTGACGGTGTCTGGCCCATGCGGGTTGGCACGTACCTAGTTGTGCGCATATGCGTACGCGACCGTTTTGGAGCGCGGGGCGGCGGCGTCGATAGATATCGACGCCGCCGTCGCCGCGCATCATGACGAGTTCGCATTCCCCATGTGACCCTCTATACCTCACCTTCGAGACAAGCCAGGGTTTAACCCAATGGACCTAGTGTGGCGTCGAGGCCCGCACTGTCTGGACATGCGGGCCGCGGCTGACAGAACGGCGGGCTAGGCATTGAGAGCCCAGGAGTTTTAATTGGGGGGTGTAACAGCGATCCATTGAGTTTCAAAGTCGGCGGCGCGCTCGGCATCGCTGGTTGCAAGCTGCTCCGCGCCGAGGCTTCCGAGGCGATGTTGCCCGAGCTCCTCCGCCGGCAAGAGCTGGAGCGAATCGAGAAGGAGCGAGGCGTCCGCATCTTCCTCTCGCCGGACGAGGCTGTTGCGGCGCTGCGCTCGCTCAGCCGCGAAGTCGCCGTGACTTACGGCTGGACCTCGCCAGACCACCCCGACGTGACCGGAGAGTATCTGGCGAACGTGCGGCGCTGCGCGACCCGCTCGGCGAGCACGTGAAGCTGGAGCGCGGGCGGTGCGGCGGCCGGCGAGGGCAAAGAGAAGCGTGCGCTCGTCCTTCGGTAGGCTGGCAGAACATGCTGGTGTTGCAGATTGTGCCACCCACGGCGGGGACGCGGGCGCAGCGGGGCAACGCCAGCCAACGGCGTCCATGCGACACCTACGTGCATTGTAGTCGTAGACGCAAAAATGTCGGGCTCGGTTCGCATGTTCTATCGCTGAGGTGGTGGTGCAGCGCTCAGGATCCGAGTTGTGGACACCGCACCAGGACCAGCGCTGCTCGAGCGCTAGCAGCCTGGAGCAGGCAACCTCGACATCCTCGCTTCTGGAGCTTGACATGCTCGCGTCTCTGTCTGACAGCGATGCCAACCTCGAGCGGCGATCGGCTGGCGATACTGGCAGACGGCGGTCGAGCGGCACGGCGTCCGTGCACCCGAGGGCAAGCACGGCGATCATGGACATGGTCTTAGGGGACCCCTAGGCTTAAAAGGGTGGGCCCTGGGGCGCCTGCGGCTTAAACGGCTTAAAACTTGCCATGGCAAGTTTTAAGAGCTGCTGGGCCGCCAATTCCTTAAACGGTCTTAAACGCTTAAACGGTGCGGGAGAGCTCCCGAGGTCGATGGTCCGGGAGGCTCCCGGTAGACACGCCGGAGGCCGGGAAGCCGGCTACAGTCAGCTAGCACGCGTCCCCTATGCGAGTATGGCTCCTGCCAGTGCACCAGACTTACAGATGTGTCTTCAGAGGCGGGTTTGTGCCTAACAACGGCAGTATTGGAGAAAACCGGCGCGGAACCCAGCGACGCGTGCCGGCGAGACCGATTTTCTTAAACGGTCTTAAAAGAGGGACCCCCCGTGCCTGCAATCTCTTAAATGGCAAGTTAAGCCCCCAAACCTCCTCGTTTCTTAAAAGGTCTTAAAAAATCCGGCCCTCAGAACCCTAGGGGTCCCCTAAGATCATGGTCAGCTTGGGAAGCATCCCGCACAACGATTTTTGGGGTGCGGCGGCAAGCGGCGGGCACAACTGCGGCGCGCTTGCAGACTGTGACCTACATATGTGCATGTACTCTCGTCAGGCTGTGAATTCTTGTTTCTCATCACCCTACTGTGAACACCCCCAGGGCCTGTGTTTCGCCTTCCTATCTATCCAGGGCTCGCACCTCAACCTCTCATAGACCAGCGCACAGCGCCATAGGACGTATTTTCTTCTCATAAACAAAGCACACCCTGGGATTGGGCACTTGCACTTGCCCCCGAAGGCAAGGTGCGTCTGATTCACAGCTGAGTGAGGAGAGAGACACCTGTCTGTGTGTGTCTTGTTACGTGAAAACCCAGGCAGGGGGACCCGGACGCTAGCCCACACGGCAAGATTTCATGGCCTTGGCCGTCGCGGCCAAAAAATATCATGCGCGAGACCTCGAGTGAGAGAGAGATTTTTAGCAATACCAAACAAATCTAACACTCACGCGTCATTTGGGGCCTGGAGCCCTGTTCACGCGCGCGCGATTTGTTTGTCGAGTGAGTGAGTGAGTATTCTTGATACGAGAGAGAGATTTTTATTAACCAACAAGAAATCACGACTCTCACAGTGATTTGGGCTCGGCAGCTTGTTAGCCCTCAGCCGAAGCTGGGGCCGGTCCCGTAGCCGAGAGAGCCCGCGCCGATGAGTTCGACGCGGTCGGGGGGAAACCACGACGGCACACACACACCAGTCGACTCGCATCGGTTGCCTCCATGAACGGCGGAGCATTCATTCTCGCGTCCACACCACACCTGTCTCCAACGTGGACACGCCCATAGCTGGGGACACTACACACACACACACACGAGACCTAGAGAGTAGTGCTGAAGGCGCTCTTTTTGATCGAGAGTTCAGTGCAAATCACGAAACACACATCGACGACACGCAATCTCAGGAATGCTGGCCCCTGCCCCTTCGCCTCCTCCCCTCGCCCCGCGCGATTCGGTGCGTCTTGGCCGTTTGCGCGAGCGTGCCCAGCCGATTCGCCCAATCCCTCAAGCGCTGCAGCGCGCTCGTGCCCGGCTGCCCGCCGTGCTGCGACCGCCGCGCGAGCGGCTCGATCCGAGGCTCGAGCGCCACGAATCTGGCGCAGCCGAATTGCGGGCAGAGCGGCCACCCAGCGCACAGCCGCGAATCGCCTTCTTGCCTACTGCTCTCCCGCGACGCCCGAAGCAAGCGCGCGCCATGCTCACCCCATTTATGCTGCTGACGCTCGTCCGACCGCCTGCGCCCTCGCAGATCCAAAACAACGTGGGCGAGGCGGGTGTGCCGCGGTGTCCTTGGTGCTGGGCCTCAAGCTGCGTACGCTGCGAGTAGGTGTGGCCCTCTTGAGCCCCCCTGCCTCTCGATTCCCCCTCAAAGACGCTCTCAAGCAGAGAGAAGCAGCGCTGGTGGCCTGAAACACGATGTGCGGCAATCAGAGCAGGAGATTAGCTGAGATTGGCCGAGATTGAACCGAGATTTCGTCAATTAACATAATTGACGGAACTTTGACGAAATTCGTGCATATGCTCTCATTGCGCCACGAGTCGACTAAATTGACGAGATCGCCCAGATTTCGTCAATTAGCATAATTAATACGCTAGATCGCTTCCGAGACCGATATGGCACTTCCGCACCTCTCCTTCTATCGCTCGTCCTGATGCACCACCCGAGATTACCCGATATTGTCATCAATTTCGCAATTAATTGAATTAGGCTGAAAGCTGGATCTATCTGGCGGGTTGCGTTTTCCGGACCGATGAATGCGGCCAATCAGAATGCGGCCAATCACTCGGAACGCACGCACGGCGAGAGAGGCGGAGCTACAGGGCTACTCCGTAAAAGAGCTTAAGCACCGCGCGCGTGAGCTCGGCGTCCCGGGGAGAGAGATCGATGAGCTCGACGCCGCCGACGACATCAAGACGGCCGCCATCCAGCTCGTCCTCCGCCACGACGATCTGACGGCAGAGCTTGAGAAGCTGACAGTCAAGGAGCTGAAGAAGCGGGCAAAGGCTGGCGGCGCCTCCACAAGCGAGGTTGACGGCCTGGACGATGCGGCCGACATTAAGGCAGCAGCGATTGGTTTGATTGTGAAGCTCTCTCAGCCCAAGCCTCCCGTCGTCATGGGCAAGCCGGTGGTGAGCGACAAGGCGCAGGGCGGAAAAAACGACGAAGGGGCGGCTGGGGGTGTGGCTGATAGTTCTGAGCCGCAGCTGCAGGTCCCACCAGCCGTCAAGAAGCTGCTCGCGGACGCAAACCTCGAGGCATTTGGTGCTGGCTTGGCCCGGCTCGGCGTGAGGGGGCTGTCGGACCTGCGCGAGATGGAGGACGACGACTTCGCGCAGCTGAGCATGCAAAAGGTGGAGGTGAAGCGCCTCAGGCGCAGGCTCAATGAGGGTGCCTCGAAGACCGCCGAAGACGCGCCCGCGGCTCTGCCAGCAACCGCTGCTGTCGAAGCAACAGCTGCCAGCCTCGCTCTCTCGCTTGCTCGGTAGGCACCAAGGGGGAGAGCTTCTGGAGGGCTACCGACCACAGAGCAGGTGACGTCGTATGCCGCTTCCTGGCACCACCCACGCCCTACAAGAACGCCCATCGCTTGCCGCCCACTGTGCACCCCGACGTTTACACTTCTCAACGGCTGTCTCCGCGTGTGCTGACAGGACTGGGAGATCGTCCGGTGTGGAAGGTGCAAGGGTGCTGGCAAAATTGTGGTGTGGCTACAGTGTTTGAAGGGGCCATCCAAACAGTTCAATTACCGGACGAACCAGGAAAATGACGACCTCTTCAGCTCCCTTTGCCTTGAAGGTCCTCTGCTTGTCGGTACGTTTTGCTGCTTCGGCTTTGCCTGCCAGATGGAGCAGTGCGCGGTCTGCCAGGGCTGGGGCAAGCTGAAGGTCCATCCGCACACTGGCAGGCACCGCATCCTCCGCAACGTCTACGAGGGCGAGCGCAACGAGGTGGGAGAGGCCGAGGGGCGCGGAATCATGCAGTACGCGGGCGGAGACGTCTACGACGGCGAGTGGAAGGCGGGTAAGAAGGAGGGGCGCGGCGTCTACCGGTTCGCCGACGGCGAAGTCTACGAGGGCGAGTTCAAGGCGGATGAGTACGAGGGGCGCGGCGTCTTCCGGCACGCCAGCGGCGACGTCTACGACGGCGAGTACAAGGCGGGTAAGCGCGAGGGGCGCGGCGTCTACCGGTTCGCCAACGGCAGCGTCTACGACGGCGAGTTCAAGGCGGGTACGAGGGAGGGGCGCGGCGTCGAGCGGTACGCCGACGGCGCCGTCTACGAGGGCGAGAGGAAGGCGGGTAAGAAGGATGGGCGCGGCGTCTTGCGGTACGCCAACGGCAACGTGGAGTCGTGCTTCTACAAGCAGGGTGCTGGCGTCGGCGAGGGCGTCGTGTGGATGGCGGACGGGCAGCAGGCGTGGCGGATGCGTGACGGGGAGGCGGTGGAGGAGATCTCGCTGGAGGAGGCGCGGCAGACCGCCGAGCGGCTCGTGCTCCCCATCCCTTGCCCGCTGCCTGGCGCGTGAGAGGCAGAGCGGGCTGTCCTTTCCGTAGAGACAGAGGTGGTGCAGCATTTGCGGGCGGGGGCGCGGAGGGGGGGGGGGGGGTAAGAGGGGGGCGGGGGGGGGAAGGTCGCGCGAAAGCGAGATCTACGTTTGAGGTTGAGAGATGATGACATTGATGAGACGGGGCGCAGGGGCCCGGCCTCGCCTAGGGCCGTCGCCCTCGGGGACGGGGTTCCGACCGGGGCGATATGATGCGGTCTCTCATGTTTACGGCTTTATGTGTACTGTGTGCATCAAACCGGGACATGCGCGCGCCGTCGCGCGCGGCGTCATTTGCGAGGGACGAGGCACGATGGGCTTAGGGGGCTCGAAGCACGGGGTGTGAATAATGCTGAATCGAGATATATTGCTTATTGGGGATCAAAAGCTTTGCAATGGGCCGAGACGCGCGCTCGAGTACCCGCGCGAACCTTTCCACATACGGTCTATAGTCTCAACCGGACTCGTTCTTGCAATAATCTCAACGCGGTCCAAAATTCATCGGGAAATACGGCGCTCTCACGGAAAGCAACGTCCATGGGCGGACAGTAGTGTGGCGCCGCGGCGGCGCAACGCAATGTAACAGAAAGCGCCGCGGAGAAGCCCGGCGCGATCAGGCGAAGGTGCACGGGCCCTCGGGGATCTTGCAGCCCGAGACCTAGATCTCATTGTGGCAGGAATGAGCCCGCCGATCGCTCCTCCCCCGCTCCTCTCCTGCAGAGGCCGGCGCCTGGATGATTTGGCGGGCCGCCCAGTTGCCGGCCCGCACGCACTCGGCCAGATCGGCCGCCTGCGACAGCTTCGCCAGGAAGCCTCCCACGAACGCATCGCCCGCGCCTAAGCACCGAGTAGCCGCCGTTAATAAGTAATGAACATCAGGCCCACGGACGCAGCGCTGAGCGCCGTTCGTGTCCACCAGCGCCTCCTTGGGCAGCTCGTCGACCTGTTCACAGCTGGAGGTGTGAAGAGACGCTGTTCACAGCTCGAGCACCGCCTCGTTGGGTAGCTCGTCGACGTCGAACTTCGAGATGCCGCCGCCGAGCGCCACGATGGTCGGGTCCTAACCAATTCGCAACGGGGGAGTAAGACTACCAAGTAGCGATGCCGGTGCATCAGCGCCACGGCAGGTCGGGTCCTTGCCCTGCGTGAAGTATCTAGGGTGTGTCTCGGAAGTGGCTAGGAAGTGTCTAGGAAGTGTGTCTAGGAAGTGTCTAGGAAGTGTCTAGGAAGTGTCTAGGAAGTGTCTAGGTCGGGCCCTGCCCTGCGTGAAGACGACAACTAGGAAATGTCTAGGAAATGTCCAGGAAATGTCTAGGAAATGTCTAGGAAATGTCTAGGAAATGTCCTTGCCCTGCGTGATGACGACGACGCGCGGGCGCGAGCCGCTCTCCTTGGGCATCGCCGCCGCCTGTGGGAGATTGAGGGAGATTGGGGGAGATTGGGGGAGATTGGGCGCGAGCAGCTCTCCTTGGCGTCTTGGGAGCCACGGCGTCCGAGTTTGTGGGAGATTGTGGGAGATTGAGGGAGATTGAGGGAGATTGTGGGAGATTGTGGGAGATTGCCTTGAGAGCCACGACGTCCAACTCCTCGCCCCAGCCCATCGCCTTGCCAAACTCCGCCGCCTAGCACCGTGTCAGCAGTGCTGCCGAAGCGTCGACTGCTGACTGGTGCAGGTACTCGCCGGCACTTCGCCGCCTCGCTCTCGTTGTCACGATCTCCCACAACCTCCCGCAACCTCGCACAGTCTCCCACGATCTCCTCCCAGTCGTTTCGCTCTCGTTGCCGCAACCTCCCGCAACCTCCCGCAACCTCCCGCAACCCCCCCCCCCCCCCCCTTCTCCTCCCAAGCGCCTCGCTCTCGTTGCCGCAATCTCCCGCAATCTCCCACAATCTCCCGCAATCTCCTCCCCCCAGGCGCCTCGCTCTCGTTGCCGAAGAGGAAGTCGACGTACGGCATCACCGACAGCAGCGGGTCCTGCGAAAGAGCGTCGCTGCCGTGGTGAGCGAGTGCGCTGCTGTGAACAGCAAGGCTCGCACCAGAGGCCGTCCTCGCATTCGCATTCCTGGGACCCAGCCTTCCTGGACCCGGTGCTGACTTCTGACTGTTGTTGCTGTTTCTCGACTGTCTGTGCTTGTGCGTCTACTCGAGCTGTGCGTCCGGGGTTGTGTTTTTGTGTGAACAGCAAGCCGCGTCTGAGAAGTGGCCAAGAAGTGGCCAGGAAATGTCTAGGAAGTGTCCGGGAGGGCGCCTTGAAGAACTGGCAGATGAAAGGGGCGGAGAGGTTGAGGCAGAACGTCTTGTGCTTCTCCGCCACGTGCTTGCCTGTCAAGCAACAAGCGACGGAATAACAACAACATAAAAGTAATAATAATCTCCGCCACGAGCTTGCTTGCACATCAACAAACGACGGAATAACGGCAACATAATGAATAATAATGGATACTAACTAATGATGAGAAGTGTAATCAACAAGGGTGACCAGCTCATTGGCCGAGGGGCGGCAAGGAGTGCGTGTCGCTCCGCGGTCCGCTTGCCGAGGGCGATTATCGTCTAGCAAGTGTCTAGGAAGTGTCTAGGAAGTGTCTAGGAAGTGTCTAGGAAGTACCGAGGGCAATCATTGTCGGCGGCGAGACGGTGAGGAAGAAGCCTATTCTTGTTATTAACGATGAACTCTTGTCCTTAGGGCGATCATCGCCGGCGGCGAGGCGGTGAGGAAGGAGCCTACCACCCGGCGACGAGGGGTCAGCGTCACAGCAAACTCTCGCCGTCGTTAGTGGACGGGGGCGGCGGTGAGGAGGGGGAGACACCGGCGCAGTAGACGATGTTTGCGGCGGTGACGAGCTCCTTGGGAGAAGGGGGCGGGAGGGTCTGGGGGAGATAGCGATCTCGGCCAGACCTCGCCGGCGGCACGACCGAACTCTCGGCGACATCTCGGCGACATCTCCCCTATATCTCGCGGCGCATCTCGGCGAGATCTCGATCTCGGGGCGCATCTCGCCTGGATCTCGGCCGTCTCGTAGTGCGAGATCTCGTAGCAGTTGGCGGCGGAGAGGTTGGCGACGAGGGAGCGCTCGCCGCCTGGCGCGCCGGGAGATGGCGGAGAGATGGCGGAGATGTGGCGGAGGTACAGTCGGGAGATTGCCGGGAGATAGCCGGGAGATGGCGGAGATGTGGCGGAGGTATAGCCGGGAGATTGCCGGGAGATTGCCGGGAGATTGCCGGGAGATGGCCGAGAGGCAGCCGAGAGGCAGCCGAGAGATCGCCGAGAGGCAGCCGAGAGATCGCCGAGAGGCAGCCGAGAGGCAGCCGAGAGATCGCCGAGGTATGGCCGAGGTATCCAAGGTATGGCCGAGGTATGGCCGAGGTACAGCCGGGAGATAGCCGGGAGATTGCCGGGAGATAGCCGGGAGATAGCCGGGAGATTGCCGGGAGATTGCCGGGAGATTGCCGGGAGATGGGAGGCGGCGAGGGGGGCGGAGAGGCCGGGGCGGCGGCGGCGCTCGGCTCGATCTCCGCTCGATCTCGGCTCGATCTCGGCTCGATCTCCGCTGCATCTCGGTTGCATCTCGATCTCGATCTCGGCTGCATCTCGGCTGCATCTCGGCTGTATCTCGCCCTTGACGAGGACGGCGCAGGTGCCCGTCGGAGTCTCCGGGTGCTTCATGTACGCCGCGTTGACGCCGTCGCCGCGCGCCGCCTGGAGGGGAGATAGCCGAGAGATGGCCGAGAGATGGCCGAGAGATGGCCGAGAGACAGCCGAGATATAGCCGAGATATGACCGAGGTATAGCCGAGAGATAGCCGAGAGATAGCCGAGAGTTAACCGAGGTGTAGCCGAGATACGCCGAGATGTAGCCGAGATATGCAGCATGGAGGAGGCGCCGGCAGGGACGTGTCTCGGACGCGTCTCGGGCGTGTCCCGGAAGTGTCTCGGAAGTGTCTCGGAGGCGGCGGCGCGCGCCTGCTCGAGCTTGTCGCCAAACTGGTCCTTGCCGACGCAGCCGACAAAGGCGGTGCTGCCGGGCTTGCCCATCACCCACTGCGCCACGCGGATCGAGTTCTGCGTCGCCCCGCCCGCGATGTACTCCACCGGATGCGACTCGGCGAGCTCCGCGTACCTGCAAGACGTGCGGAGCCGGCGGTGGGGCGCCGGAGGTGCTGCGGCGGCGGCGAGGGCGTGCGTCGCACATCGGCTTGTGCTTGTCCTCGGCGAGGATGGCGTCGTTGAGCTTCGCGCCCCACTTGTCGAGGACGTCCTGCTCGACGACCGCCGAGATGTCGAGGAGCGGGTTGCCGAAGCCGATGAGCTTGGTGTCCGCCATTGCTGCGAAGAGGGAGGCGAGGAGACTCACAGGGGCGGATGGGTACGGCGGTGGCGTGGCGGCGCGGGCGAGGCGGGCGGCGTCGCAGGCGGGCACAGTGCGGGATGCTTTTCGGAGCACGAGGAGGGCTCAGGTCTCGAGGTGTCGAGGTGGATTCTCTGAGCCTTAGCGGTCGTGTGTGTGTGAGTGTGTGTCGGCGGAGATTGCTAGAGGACGAGCAAGCCTGCTCTAGCCTCACGCGTTCGCCCCTGTCGTCTGGTGTGTTGTTGTGCCCTTGTTTGTTCCTTCGGCACCTTGGCTGGGGGAGGCGACAGGGGGGGGGCGCGGCCTTGACGACGTGTGCAGTCCTTTTTCAGTGTATGTAGCTCTTACGTACATTCCCGTAGGAGACTCTGCTGACAGGGTTTGCGATGAGGAGCGACCCGAAGGGTTTCTCGGAGGTTAGTGCACCACTAACCGCCGAAGCGCAAGCGCTGGGAGCAAGAACACCACGACCTGGGTCGGGCTCATACTAGCACCCCACCTCGCGAGCCGACGTTCTGGCTCAGCGAGGCTGCTGCGGAGCACTCGCGGACCGGTTCTTCTGGTCCAGCGAGGCCTTTTTGGGTTGACAGTTGCTCAGTGCCGATGACTTGCCCGGGAGGGGGGGGGGGGGGGGTTCGAGGAGACAATATAGTTATACGCGCGGCCACACGTGTAGGCGCGTATCTTCGCTAAAACGAGCGCCTGCCTGCACGAGTAGACGCTTATATTCGAGCTCGTCAAATGCGCATCTGCACGTGGAGGCGCTCATGTTAGCTAGGGCTCGCACCTACACGTGTAGGCGCGAGCCTATTGGGTTTCTCTGAGACAGAGTTATTTTCAAACAGATATGGGCAGCTCTGCCGTCCTCTACGCAGGCGTCGCCGCGCTTGTCGCCGCAACGCCCGCTCCGTTCGGCGCAGAAGACCCTCCGCTGCTGGCCGCGCACCTCGACAGGGTGATCTACAGCAACAGCTCTTTCCAAGTGGGAAGGGCTCGCTCAGGCAGATCTCCCGGGAGCAATGTGTGCCTCTCGTCTTCCAGGCCGATGGCTGCGTGGTGCGTCTAGGCTCGGCGCGCACCAAAGATTTTGTCTGCTTGGCTATTACCAAGGCTGTCGAGGTGCACCCATGCGTGATCGTCTTGGTAGATGCCCCCGCCTCGTGCGACGCGTGCAAGCACAGTCTGGCCAAGGATCTGCAAGCACGCTTGCACATCGCCGACAGCTCGACTATCGCTCACAAGGACATCGCATTTCTCACTCACCTCGAAGTCAGGAACAGCCGGGCTTATCGACCACCTGGTCAAGGCGAAGGGCAATGGCACCCGAGGTGGCCACTTCAAGATATGGAACTTCAAAAGGTGGTTCCGTCTGCGCGAGTACATGCGGACCAATGGGATTTCACGCGTGTGGACGTCACCACGTCAGACGCGGATACGCTGTGGTTCCGCTCACCCTCGTTGCTAGTCACCCGCAATGGCGATGCTGTGGAGGACGCCGATCAAGCCGGCTACGTCTTTGAGTACGACAAGTGGGGCAACGTCGTCAAATCATCCGGCAACGCTGCATTCGTCTCGTTGCCGTGGCTGATTGGCCACACACGCTTCATTCTCGAGACCCTGCGCTCAGGCAAGGGCCTCGTATGGACCAGCGACATGCATTCTATCAAGGGGTTTGTTTCCCGCCAGTTGTCCAGCAGCAATCGGCCCATGGTGGCAGATCTGTACCAGCCTTGCGGTGGCCACATGGTTGATTTGTCGCTCAATATCGTAACGGGATGGATGAGCGCGATTTACAAGAGAGGGCCATCCTCCGTTGTGAGAAAGATTAAGCAGGTGACTTTCATCCATGGCCAGCCGTATGTAGCCCCCAACGGGAGCAGCAGCCTTGTTGCGGCGTCCTCGGCGACTTGGTGCCAGCACAATCTTACCTCGATTGCTCAACGAGTGCCTTCTCTCTGAATGTTGCGTTGCAAGCTCGATGCTGGCACCCGGAATATACCTACGCAGGTCGAAATGTGTATGCTGCCTTCCTTGCACTCACTCCACCGGACACATATGACATCATAAGTCTGCAACATGGTCATTGGCTTCTTGCATGATGACCGAGCATCGAGTACCACTACTTGTAGCTCTTCTCGATGGGCTCATATGCAAAATGTGTGACGGTTGGGAAGTTGGGTTTGACAGTGAGCCGTCCCTTCGCCTTGCCAACCAAACAGTCTCTGTGTGTCGCCAACGCGGCTGCTCATTGGGCTCGCAAATGGCGGCTGGTCACCGTCGGGCGGTCTTGTGCTGCAGTGTGCTGCCTGCTGGCACACTTGCTGTAGAGGCATATGCAAGACTCAAGCAAGAGACCCCGGGGCTTCGTTTTCTGGGTCCTTAACCCTAGTACCCAAATTCATGCAGCACAGCAACCCTCCCTTCTTTCTTCTTGTAAAGTGCGTGCTTCGCCGCAGGAACTGTTTCTCTTTAGTTTTGTCTTCCACTTCACTTGTAATGGTACAATCTCAAAAGACAAGCCAAGGGCTTTGTTTTGGTCAGTGAGGAGAGACTACAGAGAGTGAAGCTGAAGGGAGTGGGGGCCAGAGAGAGGTCACTTGTGGAGCACTTGGAGTGCCCTCATGAACCCACGTCCTCAAAGGCTGTATGTATGTAGAAAGATGAACAACAGTCAGGCTCGGACTGGACACCAACGCGGTATGGGTGGACGCGGGACCACAGATGATGACGACACCCACGAGCAACACACAGACACAAACAAGCTCACAAGACACACAGCCAGCTGGCTGCCACACACCCTGAGTTGGCGTACACATAACTCAAGCGGTAGGCCGCCCAGACCCCTACCTGACCTCCCACCTCAGCCTTCCACTCGAATAAAACAATAAATACAACCTCTGCGGCCCTCTCCAGCTCTCCTGAGACCTAAGGTGTTAAAAAATGTATCGATCACACACCAAGTGTGCGTATATCACCTCAAGCCAATGTACGCGGCCACACGTGTAGGCGCGTATGTTAGCTAAAACGAGTGCGTGTTAGAGTTGTTTGGTAATGGACCTTACACGCCTGTAACCTCTCTTTAAGGTATTGCTAAAAACGAGCGCCTGCACGAGTGCACGCTTACTTGTATCTGATATTCGAGCTCGCCAAATGCGCATCTGCACGTGGAGGCGCTCATGTTAGCTAGGGCTCGCACCTGCACGTGTGGGCGCGTATCTGACACAAGCAGCTACCTAGGTACACGTGTAGGCGCGAGCCTTGGCTAAGATGCGCGCCTACACGTGCACGGCTTATTGACTTGGCTGGACATTTGACCGCAGAGCGCATCACTCAAGTCGGGCTTCCAGCTGAGCAGCGCCCACACAGCGGGGTTGCTCGGCGACCACACAGCAGGCAAGCGCGGCACCACACAGAGCGCACTCTGCCACTACTCGCCCGTGCACGATGGGCAAGGACGTCTTCGGCACCATGCGCTACGGCTGCACTGTGCCGGGCTGTGCGTGCACCGACTACCTGTGCAAGATCGACGCGATGACGCACGACGAGCGCGTCGCGGTCGTCGTGCACCATCCGCGCAACTCGCCGGAGTACGTGCAGTGCGTGTGCGGCCACCAGGTGACGCAGCACCGCGACTCGGCAGGGCCGCCGGCCGGCTTGCCGCCAGCGGCGGACGGCAGCGTGCCGTTGCGCAAGTGTGACATCTGCAAGAAGATGAAGGGTGTGTGCAGGGAGCCGAGCGTGCCCGGCCACCTGCCGTGGGCAGAGGCCTTCTGCGGCAAGTGCTTCACCAAGCCGAACGCCAAGGGCTGCAAGAAGATGGACGAGGACGGGCACTGGACCACCGCCGCCGGTCTCAGTGCCGGAGCGCCGGCGCCCGAGGCTGCTGCCGCCGACGCCGCCGTGGCGGAAGGCACGGTGGCGTCCGTGCCGACATTCGACCTCGGCGCCTTTACGCATGGCTCGGAAGAGGAACGAGCTGTGCTGGCCGACGCGTGGGACGCCGCCTTCCGCGAGGTCGGCTTCTGCCTGCTGACCAACTACGAGCACATTCTTCCGGAGCGCCTCATCGAGCAGGTGCGCAGCGAGGCGGCAGACTTCTTTGCACTGCCGGCCGAGGACAAGCAGCGAGAGGCGTACGTCGACGGTGCGCACGCAGCCAGCCAGCCAGCCACCCACCCACCCACCCACCTCACGCTCACTCACACACTCACCCGCGCAGCTCGACTCACGCACTCAGCCTCGCACCACACGGCGACGCGCAAGCAACCACCAGCACACGCACGCGCGCACGCACGGTGCGCCGCAGGCACGACGGGGTACATTGGGCCGGGCGGCGAGAACGTCGGTGCGAGCGCCGGCCATCCGAGCGCGCAGCCCGACCTGGTCGAGTCGCTCAACCTGCCCGGCTACCAGGCGAGCGAGCTCACGATCTCCCCTGTGACCTCCCCCCATGCCCGGGTCGAGTCGCTCAGCCTGCCCCGCTGCCAGGAGGAGGGCGCCACGTGGGAGGCGCGCGCCGCGGCGGGCGAAGCCGGCGCGTGGCGTGCGCCCGCGTGGGCGGGTGCGCGGCTGCCGCGGGCGGAGGAGTACTGGGCGGCGTGCAGCGCGCTGATGGTCGAGCTGCACGCGCTCTCGGAGCGCGCGCTCGCGCTGCCCGCCGGCTTCTTCGACGCGCCGTACGCGCGGCCCGGCGCGCTGCTGCGCCTCGCCTCGTACCCGCCGCTGCCGCCCGCCGAGCCCGCCGCCGAGCCCGCCGGCGAGCCCGCCGCCGAGGCCGCCAGAGAGGCCGCCGAGCCCGCCGGCGCGCTGCGCTACGGCGCGCACACCGACTTCGACGGCTTCACCATCCTGCAGCGCGGCGGCGAGGACGACGGCGGCGCGCAGAGCGGCGGGCTCGAGATCCAGCGCGGCGGGCCGAGCGGTGAGTGGATGCGCGTGCCCGCGCCGCCGCGCACGCTCACGATCAACATCGGCGACCTGCTCGCGCGCTGGACCAACGACCGCTGGCGCGCCACCGTGCACCGCGTCGCGCCGCCCTCGCCGGGCGGCCCCGCGCGTGGCCGCGGGCGGCTCAGCCTCGTCTTCTTCTCCGGCCCGCACCCAGACACCGTCGTCGAGTGCCTGCCCTCGCCGAAGCTCGCCGGGCCGAAGCGCTATGCACCGATCACCGCGTACGCGCACGTCGAGGAGAAGATGCGCGCCGCCACCGCCGCAGCCGCGCCCGCCGCCGAAGGCGAGGATGCCACGTGACGGGCGCGATACCGTGACGCGACTCCATCGTCTCATCGTGACATGAGTCGCGAACCTGGGAAGAGGTTTTTTATATTACACAAAAAGCTAGGCCCTCAACGCCCTCTATGTTGGGTCAAGGGCGCATGTATGTAGAAAGATGAAAACAACAGTCAGGCTCGGACTGGACACCAACGCGGCGCGGTATGGGCGCCTACAAGAAGTGATTCGTCGAGTTTTGTTGTAAGATTCTTTGAGCTTAGCCTTCGGTGTTATGAAACAACGCAAGGCGGACATGGCATATCGCTCTCGGGCCCACAGATTCTTTCGGTTCGTCTTCGCGGGGCGGGGTGCGCACTGCGCGCCGCGAGGATGAGGAGCCTGAGCCAGGGGAGGGTTGGGAAGGGGGGGCGAGGCCGGAGGAGTATGACGGCCTCTTCGACGGCCCATAAGGGGCCGTTGTCTGCTGTGCCTTTTGTGGTGCTAGTTCGTGCCAGTCTGCTGTGAGAGGGGCTTGTATTCGTAGAACTTTCGTTCGCCCCCGTGAAAGAGGTTACCCGGTACCGGAGACTGCATTCGTTGATGTCTCCTGCAGGCGGAGTGTCGCAGCGTCACACCGGCCGGAGCCAGCACAACCTACACCCGACAGCACACATTTCAGGCCAGCCCAGGCCTTTGAGCGTGCAGCCGTCGTCGCATACCACACCTGCTTCGCCAGCGTGGGCGTCGACTGTTCCTCGCGGCGACATTCGCGCTGTGATCTCACTGCGAGGCTGCCGCGCCAACGTATCTTCGACATATCAGCGCCAAACATTTGCAGCGCTGGAGCCGATCTGGACCGCGGCGCTAGCCAGTCGCTTCTTGCACGCCCTCGACCGGCAGCTCTGGTCGCGGCGAGCTGAGATTGCACCGCCCGGCTGGACATTTCTGGCCGTGCCGTGGAGCTTCTTGTTCGACCCGAACATCCCGGCTGCTGTGCGGCCCAGCCAGATCTTCGCGGCGCTGGACCGGCTGTGGCGCCAGCTGTCGTGGCGAACCGAGCGGCACTTCACGGTGATGGTGCAGTCGCACCTCGAGCAGGCGCGCGCCACGATGCAGCGCCGGCACTTCGAGCCGATGGACTTCAGCCAGGTGGTCGTCTTCGACTCGCGGCTCACCGCTCTCGGGTCGAGCGCGCCTCGAAGCGAGAGGGCAGGCAGCGCCCGCGCCCGGATCCCCGTGCCCCTTCTCCACGGGGCGCCGCTGCCTGGCTTGCGGCCGGCGGCGGCGCGAGCGGCGCCGGAGAAGCGAGGAGGGGTCCTCTTTTGGGCGGGCGGGTGCCACGCGCGCGTGCGCTGCGGCTTGCGAGCCGCCGTCGAGGCGTCGGGCGCTCCTGCGGCGGCGGTGCGCAGGTGCGGTGCGCGGGTGTCAGCGGAGGAGCTCTTGCGCCAGCTGCAGAACGCGACTTGGGCGCTGGCGCCGCGCGGCACGTACAACGCAAACTACATGTGGGGCGAGGCGGTCGCTGCAGGCGCACTCCCCATCTTCCTGTGGGGCCGGGAGGCTAAGTGCACCGGCACGACGGCGTGCGGCTGCCCTGCGAGCGGCGCCCCACACCCGTCGGCCCTGCCTGAGCGGTCGCTTGGAACCGCCTCGCGCGTGGCGGCACAGCCGGCGAGGCCGCCCCTCGCGGCGTACCTGCCGTATTCGGACCTCGTCGACTGGGACATGATCGGCCTCAGCTTGTACAGCGACCAGGTCGTGCCGCAGCTCGGGGCGGCGGTGAGAGCTGTCAGTCCGCAGGAGCTGCGCGATCGGCAGGCGCGCCTCGCGCAGGTCCGCCCGCTCTTTTCGACACACGGGCTCCTCGCCTACGTGCGCTGGCGCTTGTGCGCGTTTGCTAACGACGATCGCGCCGCAGCGGCGAGCCGCGCCACTCACGGCACACGGCTCACGCAGCACGGTAAGCGGAGAGCTCGCTCCGCAAAATAACTAAAAAATCGGAAACAATTCTAGAACCCCCTCACCTCACACATAAACACACAACCCCGTCAGCCAGCAGGGGCATACAATTCCTGTACCCCCCTACTGTGAATGTTCACAGCGGACCCCTTTCACACCTAGGACACGGAGGCACCTCTCCACGTACCGGCTCCGCTGCTCTGCAGGCTCCGGATAGGCCCTGCCCACGGCTCAGTCACCCTCACCTCACTCGGGGTGCCAACACTAACTCAACCGCCGAGATCGACCCTATGCAGGCGACCAGGCGCAAACAGACCTCGGTCTGAGGCGCGCTACACCGCCTCCGGCACTCGCCCCTCGCCCGCGAGCGCCGAGCCCTCGGACGCGCCCCACCCGCGCCCTCACCAATCAAATCCCTCGCCCGAAGCAATCTGAGACCGCCAACACGGCGGATATCACGCGAGATCTAGTCAGAGCTGACACACAGCTCCGTTCACACCTCGCGACCAGAGGCGACTACCACCCAGCTCGACAAATCCCCGGAACACCACCATCGCTCGCCTACCCTCCGCGTACGGCGACACCCCGTCACGCCACCTCGGCAAAACCCCAACATCGGCAGGAAAGATTCTCGCCACGACGGCGCTATAACGCCGCCCCACCCACACAGACTGGACAGGCCTGCTCTCGGAGAGGGGGGCTAGGGGGCCAAATCCACGGCCACAACCCCCTAGAGGCAATGGAGCTGAGAGAAGGCGCTCGACTGCAAGGGTAGCAGAGCACCACTCCTACGCCCACGCCCCCTCAAAGACGGCAGAAACAGTCACACGCAATTAGTACATGGCCCAGATCGCGCCATGATCGCCCACACTCGAGCTTTGCAGCGCGCGGGCTCACACTCTACTATAGGCCCCCTCGACGCCCACTTCGAGCTACTCAGCTAAGGGCCGCACACTTGACGCTGTAAGCAGCGCGCGGCGAAGCAGTTTATGGCGCTTGTGGTGAATCAAATGGGAATCTAGCCCAAGGTCGGAGAGTCGTGTCATAGGAGAGGAGAGAGTGTGGAGATGTTTTGTGCGGGATCAGGCCCGAGTCCCTAGTGTCGCCGGAGCAGGTAGCTCCCTTTTTCGTAACAGGAACAGTTTTTTTTAACACACAACCCCGACAACCCCGAACCCTCCGGGACGTCCGAAATTCGCACAATATGTCTAGTCCCACGCCCGCCACGCGCCACGTATGACGCCCACCGCCGCCGCGTTGGTAAGTAAGCTGTGGTTGGGCGACCCTCGCGACTCCATTGCGCCAAAAGAAAGGGCCCTCGGGGAGGCCTTCTCTCGAGGTCTCGAGATACACAAGGCGCTAAGCGGCCAAGCGACTCCACGTCTAGACGACAGGAGCGAAGCGCCCCACGGCCTCAACAGCGAGACCACACGCGCACATGTGACTTAGCAGCTAACTCGACTCTCGAGGGTTTCCGCAATAACGCGGCGGGTGATCAGTGACGTCGCCTTGCTATCGCGCTCCGCCGACTCGCCCCCCTCGTCGCCCTGGGAAGGGGGGGCGGGGGCGGGGGGGGGGGGGGGGGGTTTTGGCCCTTGTGGTTGTGGGTGTGTTTTGGGAGGGGGGGCTTGGATTCTAAAGTTTAAGGGTGGCTCCTGGCGGGAAGGGACGAGCGAGGCGCGGGGAGGAGGAGTGGCGGCAGCGGGGTCGGCAGGGAGCTTTTCGAGGGCTCGAGGTGCAGCAGGGAGGTGCAGTGGGGGAGGGAGGCTGCGCAGACACGGCGGTGTGCACCTCGTTGCGCTACCAGCGCGGCGCGACGAGGATCACGGCCGGACCGCGGGACGGGGAGGGAGGGGGGTGGATCCGTAAATCCGTAAGTCCGTAAATCGTGTAACAAAAAACCACGAGAGACTCCCCCGCCGCACCCAGCTACAAGGCAGGCAGAGACACAGCACTCGCGACACGCTGAGAAGCCGGAGGCTGGCCTCTCCAATGCTCGCGCAACGCTGTCTGAGTGTCTGTGCACGCGCAGCAGCTCTCCGGGGTCCGCGCGGGCGGCGCACACAGTGGGAGGGCGACGACCGTGCGACTGTAACGCTACGTATATCTCTTAACAATCACTATATTCGCGCTTGCGCTGCTGCGAGTGCGACTATCAACCTCTGTCGCGTGCGCATATAATCCCCTCCATCTTGTCGTACAGCCTTGACCTCTCCGCCTCTGCGGCATCAGCGCGCCTCGCCTCTGCCTCCATCGAAATCTGCAGCGCGTCGAGCTGCTCGCGCAGCTCGGCCTGCATCTTGGCCCGCATCTCGCCGATACGCCACTCAAAATCAGCTCGAGCTGCGTGTGTTACCTCGTCGGCCATCCGCTCGGCCGCTTTGATGTCGCGTTTAGCAGCCTGCTGCGCTGTCCTCAGGTTGTCGCGGTCGGAACGCCTACGCTCTTGTGCCGCAGCAAGCTCAGCCCGCGCCGATGCGAGCGCCTTCTTCACAGCGCTCGCAGAGCGCTGCTCAGAAGCGAGCTCCTTGGTCTGCGTGACCGCAACTTCTCTTCCAACTCCTGCCGGAGCAGTACCTCAGCACTCGCACTACTCGCGGCTGCATGGATGTCCGAGACATTAGCGTGTTTTGCGCGTCTGTGCTGACGAGAGTGCGGGAGAAGCTACCCTTGTGCTCCGCGGAGATTACATCAGCGGTAGCTGCCTGGGGACACAACAACATTGCTCGTGGCCGAGCTGGCATAAGCCGCCGCACCAGCCTCTGCGGCTGCAGCGGTGCTTCGGATCGCGTCGAGCACTGCGCCTGTATCGTGCTTGAGCATGGCCTCGAGCGTACTGAGGTCGGCTGTCCCGAGTTCGTTGAGCAGACCCTCCAGCACAATGCTGAGCTGCGTCGGTGCCATGTGTCGACGTGTCCAAGGGAACGGACGTCGCCGAAGGCCTTAGTTCACGCCGAAAAGTACGTCTAACGCCTCCTGCTAGCTGGGGCACGCTCCCATGCGGCTGGGGGCCGCTCTCCAGCTCGATTAGGGCGCTTTTCGCGCGATTTTACGGAATTACGGATTGGAGGGGGGTGGCGGCACATAGGGGGAGGGGGAGACGCGCATCTACGAATCAAGTTGGTGCCGCAAACCACCTTCCTTTTATACTGTATTCGTCGTTTTATATTAGTTTCGCTTTCCTGTCTGCGCCGAGTCTGGTATCTGCTCTACAGTACACGGTCGGTAGCCTCACACGTTACCCCGTGTCGCCTCTGTCTGTGTTGTTGTGCTGTTGTTTGTGCCCACATCACTCGCGAGACACGTCTCATCCGCACTGGCGCTCGCGGCAATAAAGAATAATCTCATATGATGCTGTGAATACAGTACGTCCCGAACCCATACTAGGACCTTGTAGCATATGCGCTCGGCGCATGGACCTTGTAGCACAAATGGCTGCATGGCACCGCGAGGTGAGACTTCGGCGACCTCCTCTGGGTCACCATGAGACGCCGCGCGCTCCCCCCGTATATCCGCCTCGGCCGCCCCAGCCCCGCCCCGGAAGGATGCGGCGGACCGGCACCCCCCCCCCCCCCCACCCACCCACACAAACACCTCCCGGCTCGGTTCTCGCACGTAGAACCTGCTCCGCGTGCTCTCGCTAAGAGTGCTGCCTCTCACGCGCCGGGCAGCGGGGAGGGGAGGGGGAGCCCGAGCCGCTCGGCGGTCCGCCGCGCCTCCTCCAGCGAGATCCACTCCACCGGCTCCCCGTCACGCAGCCGCCACGCCTGCTGCCCGTCCGCCAGCCACCCGACGCCCTCGCCGACGCGCGCACCCTGCTTGTAGAAGCGCGAGGCCACGGCGCCGTTGGCGTACCGCTCGACGCCGCGCCCCTCCATCTCACCCGCCTTGTACTCGCCGTCGTAGACGTTGCCGTTGGCGAACCGGAAGATGCCGCGCCCCTCCATCTTACCCGCCTTCCACTCGCCCTCGTAGACGTCGCCGTCGTCGAACCGCACGACGCCGCGCCCCTCGGGTTTGCCCGCCGTGTACTCGCCGTCGTAGTCACCCTCGCGGACGATGCCGCTGGCGAGCCGCATGGCGTAGCGCATGGTGCCGCGACCGCGCGCCTCAGTAGGCGCGGGCGCGGCCGCCTCAGGCGCGGTCGCCGCCTCCGCCTCTCTGGCTGCCGTACTGGCCGCCGCCCGCGTCTGCGCCACCCTCTCCGCCGCCGCCGCCGCCTTCACCTCCGCCCGCGCCTCCTCCGCCTCCGCCTGCGCCGCCGCCGTCGCGGCCTCCGCCTCCGCCCGCGCCACCTCCGCCGCTGCCGCCTTTTCTTTTGCCGCCTCCGCCTCCGCCCGCGCCGCCTCCGTCGCCGCCTCCGCCTCCGCCCGCGCTGCCTCCGTCGCCGCCCGCGCCGCCGCCGCCGCTGCCTCCGCCTCTGCCTGCGCCGCCTCCGCCCTTACCCGCGCCATCTCCGCCGCTGCCGACGCCTCAGCCCGCGCCGCTGTTGCCTCGGTGCACGACGCAGCCGAAGCCTCGCTAGCCGCTGCCGCCGTCGCCGCTGCCGACTCTGCCGCCACCCGCGCCGCCCTCTCCTTCGCCAGCTGCTCCGAGAGCTGCGCCGTCGCGGCTGCCTCAGGCGCGGTCGCCGCCGCCTCGACGCCGGGCCCCGCCGTCAGCGTCAGCGAGGCGAGCATGCTGAGAGCTTCCTTTGTCGGGACGGCCTGGCACTTAGACAGCGCAGCGTCGTTGGCGGCTGTTATGACCCAGAACTCGCCCTCGACCTTGATCTCGTACGACGCTTTGCTCATCGGTCCGAGCGTGCCGCTCTGCTTCCTCATTGTCTTGCGGAGGCGCAGCACGGCGAGCATCTTCGTTTTCTTATCGACAAACGTCTTTTCCACCGTCTCCTTGGCCGACTCGTTCGAGAACCCCACCTTGAGTGAGCCGAGCAGGTTCGCGAAGTTGGCGGCGCCCGCGACGCCTGTGACCGCAGCTGCTACGATTTCCGCGATGTCTTTAGCGGCGATATCGATGGATTTGCCCTTCGCCGCGCGATTGATCACCTGGTGCTCCGCGCTCTCGAAGGCGGCCTCGGCAACAACCGACATGAATACCGGCGTGAAAGTAAAAAAAGAAAAGCGGCGCACAAGGAAAAAAAACGCAAAAAGATTTTACCCGAACGAAAGGCTGGTTTAAGACACTGCTCGGCAGCTGCTCGGCGATGTCGGAACTTCGTGCAGAGCATGAAACTCGTGCACGATTCGAGTGCGCACCGAGGACCTTGCCGAGGCGATAGGCCGAATCACTTTGGGCCCCGCCCCCGCCCCCACCCCTCGGGGTGGGGGCACCCGCCCCTGTCGGGCGCCGCTTGCGGCGCCTGGCAGGGGCACCCCCTGGGTGGGGGCCGGCGATTCCCATGCCGGCTCTCCGCCACAACCCCCGCCGGGAGGGAATCCCTGCTCACAGAAAAGGGCTTCGAGCCCTGTCTCGCGCACGCCCCTGGCGGGCGCCGCGGACCAGTTCCGCGAGCGCTCGTCAGCGGGTGGTGTGCGGTTCTTGCCGTAGTTCCTCTTCGGTCGCCTAGCCCCGGCGCCGTCTGTCGGACGCCTGCGTGTCACGAGTGCGAGCCGCTCGCGGTTCGTACGCCCGCTTGCGGGTTCGAGTGGCGGGATATCCCGCTTGCGGGATGGCTTAGCGGGTTCGAGCCGTCACACATTGGCTGCCGGGGTGTGCCGAGGGGGGGCTGGGTGGGCGGTAGGCCGTCATTGCCCGGCGCTGCTTGCAGCGCTCTGGGTGGTAGTGGCGGCGCTCCAAGAGTGGTGCTCTTGGGAAGAGGTTCCTCCTTTCCGCTCCCCCCCCGCAAGGCGCGAGACACACACACGGGGGGCACACACACATACACTCTAACACTCACACGTCATTTGGGGCCTGGAGCCCCTGCAGACTGATCTTTATGGTGGTTTAGTTTGCTTTGGGCCGTCTCGCCCTGTTCACCGGCTCGCGCGAGACGTGCAGACAGGGTTGCCAGGTGAGAGCGAATGGGAGGCGGCGGCGCGGCGAGGGAGCGGGCGACGCAGGCGGGGCGGGGCGGCGCGGCGGCGGGTGGGGTAATTATTTTTTTATAAATTAATTATTAATTAATAATATCGGGCGGCGGCGCGGCGCGGCGGGCGGGCGACGCGGAGCGGGGCGCGGGCGAGGCCATCTGTACTGAACGGGCCAGCTAGCTGGTCTTTGAGTCGGCGCAATGGTCGCGCCGCCCTCGACTCAAGGGGCTGCGCCCTGTTCACGCGCGCGCGAGACGTGCACACACCATGCCCGTCTATGCCTAGCGAAGCGCATGTAGCTCCGCCGCCTTCACTGTCCCTTCTCTCCCAGACGGACCCCGCACTTAGCCGCCCACTTCTGCCAACCGCCAGCACGTGCCCCTCCCCCTCCCCCCCGCCCTCTCCCTAGACGACGTGCCTGCGCACTACTCGGCTTGCGAACCTAGAAGCGGATCTCCCCCACATCTCCCCGCACCTCCCCATATCTCGAGCCGTAGAAGCGGAAGGACACGTATTCGTTGTACTCCAACCAGCGCTCGAGAGGACAGTCACTCAGCCGGCCAACCTAGACGCGGCTCGGCGCCTCTCGTCCCAACCAGGGCTGGAGAGCCACACACGTGCCACGCTGCCGTTTCGAGGGTCTCCCGGCTGTACGTACTTTGTCTCCGAACCACCCTCGCACTGAAGATGGCCGGCCCCCCGGGCACCCCCACCTCATCTTAAAACAATCCCCGCCTGAAAAACAGCTCTGAATTGACCAGCTCCGAA